AAGACACTTACTGACATAGACATTATGAACCCCCCAAAAAACTGTAGCCTACATTTGTTAGATCAGCATCACAGTGTGAGTCTTGTATGGTCAGGCACCGGCGACTAAATGAGCCGTAAATCTACAGTAAATATTGCAAGAGAACAAAATACTTTATTAATATAAATCAATATCCAGTAACAGAACAATGAATTCTGAAATGAATTTTGTTGCTTTTATATTTTGCTATAAAAAATCTCACAGGAATTCTCTGTTTATTTTTTTTGATCCATGGCAATACCATTTACAATAAGAAACATAAACAGTTAATATAATCAATAGATAGTTGTTTTGTCTGGCTGTGCCAGAGCATAAAAAAAAACGTTTTGTGACAATAAAGATGACTTTGACTTTGACTTTATAACTTTTTTTCAATTTATATAATCACAGCTGTGTTTACACTAAATAAAAATACATAAAATTAGATTCCCATGCTATTTAAATGTAAATTATTTTATTCTGTTACACCCTTTTGGCGCATAATTTAAGAAAAATTCACGTCAAGACCTTTAAAATAAGACCCCTCCCATCCTTCTACGGCCATCCAGTCACTCACAATTTCTTTACAAAAATTTGACTTACGGAATTATATATATTGATGATGATTTAAAAAATCAAGACACTTACTGACATAGACATTATGAATCTCCCAAAAAACTGTAGCCTACATTTGTTAGATCAGCATCACAGTGTGAGTCTTGTATGGTCAGGCACCGGCGACTAAATGAGCCGTAAATCTACAGTAAATATTGCATGAGAACAAAATACTTTATTAATATAAATCAATATCCAGTAACAGAACAATGAATTCTGAAATGAATTTTGTTGCTTTTATATTTTGCTATAAGAAATCTCACAGGAATTCTCTGTTTATTTTTTTTTATCCATGGCAATACCATTTACAATAAGAAACATATACAGTTCATATAATCAATAGATAGTTGTATAAACTAAACACAACAAAACAAAATGTATGACTTCACTACTATATTAATATAGAATATTTTTTTTTTTTTTTGAGGCATAATATAAAACAGAAAAAATACCGACATAGGGTGATTTTACTACATTTCTAATTTCCTCCTCGTCAATCAATTATTGTGGTTTAGGTTTCCATTCTATCATGTAATTGTAGGTTGGCGCTTCAATTTAATTGATAAAGAACTGTGTTGAAAATTTGGTTTCAAAATAAATATAAAAAAAAACTTTTCCCTGTTTGTAACAATTGTTCATAGGTAATTGTTTGAGTTAGGCATAGGCCTAATGGTTTCCGAAATACATTAAACTGATCATTTTCATGATTTGGTATTTGAATCTCAGTACCAATGTCAATGAGTAACTTCATCTACCCACAAAATTCGGTGAACAATATATTTTTGTATATGCAGGGAAATTATTAATGTCTAAAAATTGTTAACTCTAGAGTTAGACTTGACTCTCTTATTATTTAAACAAATCATAATACATTCAGAACATTACAATTAAAAGATCAAAAATGGTTGACATAGAAATAGGTATAAACTTGTTAAATGAAGATAGATCATACAGTCTAACTTTTAGTTACAGCTTCGATGCCGTTTTGAAAATGTGTTTATTTTTTAGGCTGAACAAATAAGACAACTCGAGGAAAAACAAAAGATTCTCCAAGAACAACTTCATTCCAAGTGTTTAACGATTGAAAATACAACAGCTGCATTTAATGAACTAAGGAATCAACTGGACAGTTGTCAAGCAGAACTAAAAGTTCTAACTGATAAAGAAAAACAATTAAGGACCAAGAATGAAACCCTAGAACAAGATATATCTGCAAGCTTGGTTAAATACATGGAGCTAGAAGTTCAGTTCACAGACTCTTTGACAAATCTTGCTCATCTTAAGTCTGTTATTGCTGATAAAGAAAATGAGATTGAACATATGAAAATTACGATTGGAAGTTTAACAGAAGAGAACAATAATTACCAGTCAAAAAATGTGCAACAGGTAAAAAATAAAATGTTTACTTCTGTACATTTTTTATACTATAGTATTAACACTTTATTCTTTTTTCATTAACTTCTTCAAAAGTTTCTGATTCATACTATGTTGGGATTAGTACATTTCTTAAGTCGGTTGTCAGTTTACCGGTTCAAAGCAAAAAAGAGAATTAATGGTATGTTCAAGATTTTCCTATGATCGGGGAGACAATAGTGTCATCACGATCGCATAGTTGCAATCTCGGATTATAGTCTTGATGGCATTACGATAAATGCCATCACATTCCTCTGAAAGTATGGTCTAGCTCCACCAGGTAGTGAATGTGTTTTAAACACATGTAAGCTGTATACAAGATAAACTGTGTAAGACTATAATACTTGTCTACTTGTCTAACAGATCTGATCTGCATTTTAGAACAAAGTGAAAAATCCTTTTTCGTCAGCAGTACTTTTCCTCTCTTTTACTTTCTGATTTAATGAATTTCAATGACTATGATCATCATTAGAAGACGTTATAAAAATATTTAGTAGGCCTACATACTTTTAGAATTGTATTTATTTATTGTCTTCTCGGTACCTACTTAAAAGTATTGGTTCTAAACTACGTTTACAACCTGATTACTAAAACTACTTGAGATATAAGTCTTGTAAACAAATGATTTTAGGAATAACATAGTTTTTTTTTGCCCTTGGATTGTAAACTCACTTTGGTTATAGGCGGAGCAGATCAAGAAACATAGAGCAACTGAGAAGAATCTCCAAGACGATCTGCAGTCTAAGAGTGTAACAATTGAAAATACAACCAGTGCCCTTAATGAACTAAAGGAGCAACTGAAAGTTAGCAAAGAAGAGTTGAAGAGTCAGAGAATCCAAGTGAAGAAGTTGAAAACGAAGTGTGAGAATACAGAACATGACCTGTCTGTTCAGGTGGCCAAGCGTAAAGAGTTGGAAATTGAATTGGCAAACTCTTTAAATCATATAACTGAACTAAACACTACAATTGGTGAGAAAGGTAGACAGATTGATCAGATGAACAAGTCAATAGAAACTTTGTCAGAAAAGAACAAGTCCTATGAATTGAAAGTCGCAGAACAGGTAAGCCAAGAACGTTTTATATTTCAATCTGTGTGCATTTTAATCATTCCCTATGTCTTTGGGTGTTTAAATATAGTGATCTATAGTGAATACAATGAGTTGTTTAGCAAAAATAAATTTTGGTTTTTTTGTTTCTTCTAACCATTGGAGTGAAATCACAGACAAATGTTGGGTCTAAATGTCTCACATATTAAATTTAATTCTAATAGCTTTGTGTTTTAAAACGTCATTTAGTCATTTAGCATGTTACGTTTAATCATAGGGATGTTTTGTGTTGGAGATTACTTAACTGCTTTGAAATTAATAGTTGATAACAGAGTAATTAAAAAAAAAAAAAAAAAAAAATAGCCATTTAATTTATTTATGACTACATCTATCAGTACAGTTTAAATGCCTTTTAGAAACCCTCAATACTGTTGATTTTCAAAATGGCATTTATTACCTGAAATTGTTACAACTTCTTTTGTACCAGAATCAATATGGTTGGGACTCTGTTCATACATCATATTCATTTCATTTCCTACGATTACGGTTACGTGATTGTCTTCTGTCATAATTAAAAAAAAATTTTTGTCCTAGGACGCTAGGCACGAGACCGGAATTGTTTTTCACAATACTTCAGGCTAGATCTAGGGGTTATGGTAATATCACTTAGATAAAATCCATTGGTGATTTGGCGGGGTTTGAACCCTGAACCCCAGGAACCGGAGTCCCGCGCTCTAACCACTAGGACAGCTCGCTCGCCCCTTCTGATTTAATGGAAATATCTGTTATCATCTATTTCAGTCGTTCATGTCGAATCTTTCGCTTTCACATTCTTACTACACGACGACATTAAAAGAGAAGTAACACCATTAATAATTGGACACCTTTTATAGGCTTTTGATCTAATATCCTGGTTCCATACAAAATTCACCTCCAGTTCACAGATCTTTTCCTGGTTATCAAAATTAGTGTACATGATCGGCTGCTCACTTCCTTTAACCTTTCAGAACACATAACTTTGTTACCGTATAAATTTAAATACAGTAGGCCGGATCGGGATAAATCGGATAATTTAACGGGGTTCGGATTAGCGGAACTCTAGACTCTGATGTATAAATGGTCTAGCCCCTATGATTTACAATAATTCCTTTTTTCCATTGTCGAACAACAAGTAACTGTAACCACGGTATTAAATATTTCTGAATATTCTCTAGTATTGGGTATAACTTCACATTGCACTTTTGCTTATGGAACTAATTTTCTTGCATTCAATTAACGCACAGAGAAGTAAGATACAGAAGAAACATTCAATGGTACACTTAAGTCATATCTAGCACCAGTTGCTTGTGTCTAGTGCTAATTCTATTGGTGGTCCGCTTCCGCTCTCCTCTCCCACTTCACCTTCACAATACAGCGCTTACGCTGCAGGAAGAGCCTGTGCACGCTACAACTGCTATTGTAAAGAAAAGCTGTTTGGGCTTATCCTTGCTCGGTACTAGTATATTTTCGCCCCACCATTCCAGAGCTAAAAGCGCCCGGTTGTTCGATAAGCATGTATCGTATCCTCTGTATCTTACTTCTCTGTTATTTACATCAACTGGTATTTTAAGTTTGATTACTGTCTGTTTCAAAGCAGTTTGCGGATATTTTATTGACATTTTAAGCTATTTTTTATTTAGTTACTATTTATAAATACTTATTAGTTCATAATCCTTAACAGTTTTACTTATTGAAATTAATGTAACTAGTAACTTTTTATTTATTATTAAAACCGCCTTGTTTTCACCGTTAAATGCATGGAAGATTATTGAAAATTACCATATTTTGTCTATGAAACAGTGTTGAAATTTATTGATGCATTATTAATTGAAAGTAAAATGTGGTTCCTACTTATCAGGTTGAAGTAATTAAGGAACTTGAACTCAGCGGAAACAAGCTCCAAGACATTATAAATTCAAAAACTTTAGAAGAACACCACCTCCAAGATATGCTAAATGCAAAGTCTGCTGAGATAAACAAGCTTCAAACTGATCTACAAACAAAGACCTTGGAACTGAGTAATCTTGAAAATGAGATGAAGTCAAAGTGTGCAGCGATGGATATGCTTCAAGATCAGTTCCAGTTGAAGTCTTTGGATGCAGAACAACTTCAAAACGAGTTGCAATCTACATCTAATGAGGTAGAAAAACTTCAGCGGGATCTACAATCAAATAACTTAGCATTGGAAAATCTCAAAACCGAACTGCAGTCAGAGTCTGTGAAAGTAGAAAATCTAGAGGATGAGTTAATTTGTAAGTGTGAAGCGATAGATAATTTACAATGTACATTACAGTCTAAGTCTTCAGATATAGAAAAACTGCAAACAGAGTTACAGCTGAAGTCTTTGGACGTGGAAAATCTTCAAGAAATGATACAGTCAATATCCTCAGAAATGGATAGAATCAAAAGCGAGTTACAGTTGAAAACGTCAGAAGTTGAGAAACTTCAATGTGAGTTAGAGTCAAAGTCTGTAGAAATAGTAAAGTTGGATTATAAACTAAATTTAATGCAGTCTGAGAATAATATGCTGCAATCACAGCTAGAAACCAATTCTTTGGATATACAAAACCTGAAAGACAACCTACAGAAACAATATACAGAGAATAATAAGTTGTATTGTGATTTGCAGTCTAAGTCTAGCGAGGCAGAATGCCTTCAATGTGAATTACAAGCAAAAACATCGGATATTCAAAAACTTGAAATTGAATCACAGTCAAAGTCTCTAGATTTGGAAAGTTGTCAAGAAAAGTTACACTGTAACTCTTTAAAATTGGCTAGTCTTCAAGATGAAATTCAGTCAATGTGTGAAGCAATGGATATACTCCAGAGAAACTTTCAGTCCAAATCATCAGATGTGGATAAGCTTCAATGTGAATTGCAGTCTAAGACTACAGACTTTGAAAATCTTCATCGTGATTTACTATCAAATGCATCTGAGATAGAAAAGCTACACTGGGAATTACAAACAAAGGATATTGAAATCCAAACATATCAGAGCGAATTACAGGGAAAAACTTCAGAATTGGACAAATTTAAAGAAGAATTGGAGTCAAAGTGTGTTGCAATAGACTTTCTGCAAAGTAATTTACAGTCAAGGTCTTCAGATGGGGAAAAACTTCAAAGCGAGTTACACGCAAAGTCTTTGGAAATTGAAAAACTTCAACATGATTTATTGTCCAACTCCTCGGAAATAGAGAAACTACAAGGCGAATTGAAAGCTACGATTTCACAAAGTCAAGAATATGAAAATGAATTACAGTCAAACATTTTGGAGATAGAAAATCTACAGCACCAGTTGAAATCAAACTGTGACGCAATGAAGATTCTTGAAAATACTTTGCAGTCAAAGTGTGCAGAAGTTGATAGATTACAAAGTGATTTTCAGACAAAATCTTCTGATTTGGATAAAGTTCAATCAGAATTTGCATCAACATCTTTAAAAATAAAAAAAATTCAGAACGACCTACAGGAAAAATGCACAGAGAATAACAAGTTACAATACGATTTGAAATCAAAATCCCTTGAGGTAGAAAAGCTTCAAAGTGAAATAGAGTCAAAGACTTTGGAAAATCAAAAACTTCAAAATGAATCCCATTCAAAATCTTTGGAAGTGGATACTCTTCAAAATGAGTTGAAGACAAAGTTTGAAGAGATTGATAGACTGCAAAGTGATTTGTTGTTAAAATCTTCTGATTTTGACAAAGTTCAATCAGAGTTTGCATCAACATCTTTAGAAATAAAAAAAAATCTGAATGACCTACAGGAAAAATCCACAGAGAATAACAAGTTACAATACGATTTGAAATCAAAATCCCTTGAGGTAGAAAAGCTTCAAAGTGAATTAGAATCAAAGACTTTGGAAATTAAAAAACATCAAAATGAATTCCATTCAAAGTCTTTGGAAGTGGACAGTCTTCAAAATGAGTTAAAGTCAAAGTATGCAGAGATTGACAGACTGCAAAGTGATTTGCTGTCAAAGTCTTCTGATTTGGATACAGTTCGATCAGAATTTGCTTCCAAATCTTTAGAAATAAAAACAATTCATGATGACCTGCAGGAAAAATTTACAGAGAATAACAAATTACAATATGATTTGCATTCAAAGTCACTAGAGGTTGAAAAGCTCCAAAGTGAATTAGAGTCAAAGACTTTGGAAAATCAAAAACTTCAAAATGAATTCCATTCAAAGTCTTTGGAAGTGGATAGTCTTCAAGCTGAGTTAATGTCAAAGTGTGCAACGATGGATGGACTTCAAGATGATTTACATAAAAGGTCATCGGAAGTGGACAACCTTCAATGTGAATTACAGTCAAAGTCTACAGAGATTCATCATGTTCGAGATGACCTGAAGGCTAAGTGTGTTGAGGTTGAAATACTGCAAAGTGAACTAGAATCCAAGTCTTTGGAAATGCAGAATCTTCAATGCAAGATACAGTCAAAATGTGAAGAGGTTGAAAGTGTTAACAGTACAATGAACAATCTTCGTAATCAAATCACAGCAAATGAAGAGGAAATTGAATCGTTGTCAAACCAAGTTTTGGAGTTGAACGCAAAAGTCAAAAGTTTTGAGGAGCGAGATTTGGAATTGTCCTTGGAATATAATGGTGTATCGGAGCAGCTGAAGGAGTGTCGTGGAGTCATTGAGGAGCTTCAAAACACAATTGATGACAAAGATAAGCGCATTTATCAACTTGACTCAACAATTTTGGCTCTGTCCAAGGAAAGAACGGAGCTACAATCAACCATCTCTTTACAAGTAATTTTTTTATGTTTCAAGGCATGCAAATTTACGCATTTGATATTTTTTCATTGAAACTGAAATAATGCATGAAAAGCTAAGCCTCGTATAAGGAGTGGTTGGATTTATAAACAAATAAGTCTATCTAGATGAAGCTCAAGAATCTGTGCATGAGTTGAGCATGTATATTGCATGCTTTATGATAAATGCTATTACTGACATAGTTTTAGTTTTTTTTTTTTTCAATAATTATTTTTATTTATAGCAATCAATCTTTTTTAGTTCACGTTGTAAACTAACTCCTAGCTGAGCATTTTTTGTAAATTATTTTCCTTGGGAAAGCGTAATCACCAGGGCTATGCAAAGAAGTTATCTTTAGGTTTCCCATTCATACAACACATTTTTTATACATGTTCTACCCTGCTTATTCACATCTTGACTTCATTGTCAGTCTGAACTAAGCTTTCATTTTTTCTTTAAATATTGATTGCCATAAGTTGTTTGTTTTTTTAATAGGCATTTGACTTATCTTGTAAATGTTCTTTTGTATGAGCAAAGCCTATTATTAATGCCTTGGGAATAATAGATTTAGTATGAAATTACATTTCTTAAACATGTATTTACATTTTTCTTGAATTATATTGCATGTATTCTATTGTCATTTTAAATGGTCATGTTTTTCCTCTGCGATAGACTTAATAATTAGGAATTAAGGATGAAGGATAGGATAAAAAGTAAGTTCATCAAGAAAACAGTTCTGCAAAGCTTATAGCATACAACAACTTGTCAACAATGGCAAGTGCACCTCCTTCTGAACCTGGAAGAATGATGAACATTTTGTGCTGGAGCGTTTTTTTTAGTTGTGTCTCTTTTCCTTCTTCCTTAATGTTTCTAAGTCAAGTGTTTTTTTCGTAAAGAACTTGACTTCTCTAATTTTAACTGTAGACTAACAAAAAGTGTAGGCCTCTAGTTATCTTATAAACTAACTCAATTATTTAATTTCATTAAAAAATCTGTGTAGCTTTTTCTAAAATTATTTGATATTGATAAAGTGTAGTAGGCTAGATATTTTTTGCTGAAAAAGAATTGTTTTGTTATGTTGTATGTTTGTACGTTGTGCATGAAATATCAGTTACCCAATTTATTAGTATTTTAATATTTTATTTAACATTTTGTTAACTATTTTAATGTCAATCGGCCATCAAGTTATACTTGATTTGACCAAGTTAGTGTCATTAAACTTGGATTGAACATTAATCTTTAATCACTGTTTTAAAACTCTTAACAAACATGTTTGAATGAATGTTAGCTTATCTTTTTAATGTCATTTTTTGCATCTTTTTAAAGAAAAAAAAATATTGATAAAGGATATCAATAAAGCATATAACATATACAAGAGATTGAAATAAATTAATTTACTTTTCATTAAATTTTAGATTTTATATGTTAAGAAACGAGTGTGAACATTTTGTAACTTTATTGTTTTTCTACAGAACATTGATTGACTATTTCACAACAATATAATTTTGATTTTAGACAGAACAACTCAACCATTATGAGTCAACTGAAAAGAAACTCAGAGTTGAACTTCAGTCCAAGTGTGAGATGATTGAAAATACCACCAGCACTATAAATGAATTAAGCAATCAGCTTACAGTTTGCAAAGAAGAGCTGCAAGTAAAGAATGATCAAGTAAAAGATCTGAAAACCAAGAGTGATGTTATGGAAGCAGATCTGTCTTTGAGCTTGGCAAAAAAGACTGATCTGGAGGTTCAACTGTCCGAAGCATTGAAAAACATAAATCAACTTACCTCTGTGATCGCTGATAACAAGCATCATTTAGATACACTATCAGATGAGAAGAGACATTGGGAACTGAAGAATGAACAGCAGGTATGATTTATTTCTGTTTTGTTTGTTTATTCATTACTACTAGATTAGCTGTGCACTCTCAAACCATGTTGTTATCTCCGATGTTTTAGTTTTGTACCAAGGTGATACAAGTCACTGAAATTATGAATCTATTTGATTTTACCAGGGGGTGCACAATTATTGTGATTTTAATCTAAAAGAAATTTAGCTTCTTTTGCTCCATTACTAAGTGCCACATACTCTGCTTCTGTACTCGACAATGCCACCATGCGTTGTTTCCTGCTCTCCCAGCTTATAGGTCCATTTGCTAACTTGAAAATATATCCCATACAAGAACGCCTGTCTTCTTTGTTAGCCCATTCCGCATCAACGTATGCTTCCATCTCAAGACTCCTTGATTTTTGTACACAATAACCCCTCTCATAAGTTCCTTTTAGGTACAGGGTGGGGCAGGGAAGTATCCCTAATTTTGAAGGTGCGTTTAAAGACAACCAAAAATGTTATAATCAAACTTTTTATTGAGATTAAAAGGTCATGTCTGGGAGTTTATTTTAATATAACTTAACTTGGTTTTAAACAGCATATCCTGCAAGTGGTGTTCCTAATCTTAAATGCATTGCTGTGTTCTGGTTCTTGAGTTGATAATAACTTTGTGAAGCATTTGTTGTGGAATGTGACAAAATTCAAGGTGAATTGCATCCTTCAAGGCATCTAGGGTCTTCCCTTTAACTACCCTAGGCTTAGCATCACTCCAATAGAGCACATTCTGCTTATTTACCGCTCCAGAATTATGGAAGTGTGCCTCATCACTAAACAAACCCCGAGCAGCATGAGGTAGTCCCGCAATTAAGATTTCACATGCCTACATTCGTCTGTTGCTAGTCCCTTTGTGTGAGTTCATGAGCAACTACCCTCTTGTATAGATGGAGGTGTAGGTCTCCATGGAGAATACGAGGCACAGTATGACTAGAAAACGCCAGCACGGATGCATGCTTACAAGCAAAACTTTGAGGAGACTGCTAAATCGATCTTCTTACAAGGTCAATGTTTTCAGGACTCTGGACGGTTCTTTGAGCTCCAAATATCCTTCGCAATACACCACCAAATACACGAAAGTAATTCACCCACACCAAATTGTAACAACTTTGCGACAGGCCACCCGATAACAAGTTTGCAGCCAACGGTAGCTGCACAGCAACAATAGACAGATTTTTGAAAAAAAAAAATACATCTCGAGTGCAAAAGCACATTGCTCACTCGAACAAGCCATGTCTACTACTGAAAGTGATATTCTTAGAAATTCCCAAAACAAAAGCTTCATTTGAGCCTAACCCCATTCCTCCAGCACACCCCCACTACTCACAGTGCCATCTTAAAAGTAGGGATATTTCCCTGCCCCACCCTGTATAACAAGATACCTTTTACTGCCTTCCAGTGCACACTCCCGTAACAGCTATTAAACTGGCTAAGATAACTAACTGCATGTGCAATATCTGGTCTACAGTTGACAGCTAGATACACTTCCTATAAGTTTTTGATAAGGATATGATCGCTTCCCGATTGATCCTTTTCTAGGGACAATCCAGCCTCTATTGGAGTATTCACAGGTTTGTAATCAGTCATCTTAAACTGTTCTAATACATTTTGAATGTAAACTGACTGATCTAGGCACAAAAAGTCATTTCCTCTCTTCATCCTCATTCCTAGGATATTTTGAGCTGGTCCTAGATCTTTAATAAGTACTCATTAGTTGCTCAATAAGTTGAAGTTTTTCATCTTATTGTAAAATAAATACAAATCATCAACATACAGTGCAATTATTGTCATACTATTGCACTTTTTCTTTGATAGACACAAGGATCAGAGTTAAATCTTTTGGATTTTAATGATGTAAGTACTTAATTTATTTTCTCATACCTTGTTCTTGATGACTATTTAAGACCATAGATAAACCGTTTTAATAAACATAATTTGTCTTCTTTGCCTAGTACAACAAAGTTTTCAGGCTGTTGCATATACACAGTTTCCTTTAGTTGTCCGTTCAAAAAAACAGTTGAAAAATCTAAATGATGAATATCCAGATTCATTTCTCCTGCTAGAGCCATCAACGTTCTGAGAGTGCAGTTTCTCAGATAGTATTTCAGAATAATAAAAAAATAAAAATAATTGAAAAACAAAGCATGTTGCAGACAATTCTCTATGCTGAAACGTATGTTTATGGTCCCTGGACAATTTTGTTTAAAAACAAAAATTGGTATTATGTATGTATCTCGGTTGAATAGTTCTAGGGAATAACGGAAAACTTATTATTGTCTTGATTTTTTAACACGATATATGATGACACATAGTTCATCACTAATGTTGTTTGTATGTAGTTCTTTGTCTACGGAATTGTAAATTTATGCCCAAAGGTTACTGAAACGTCTAACTCGGTGTTTCAACGATATTTCTATTGAGGAGGACAACTCTTCATCTTTTGCAGTTTTTCCAAAAACTTAAAATAAAATTGTCTGCTTATAGATTTTGCATTTTCTAAACATCAATCCTAGTTATGAATTATTCCTGAAAATCCCTGCACACGATTCATCCTCAAATAGTTCTGGGAATTCTAATAGAGCTCTCATATTTGCATTCGCATGATGGGTTACATTTACTAGTTTCTGATCACATGGTTTAAATGCAGTTATAAATATGCCTAAGGAAAGGAATTGTTTTTTTCTTGTAAATTTCTAGTGTAGGACCTACTCATATTAACTACCGTATTCATGAACACAATCCATGAATGAACTACCTACTGTATTTGTTATCAATAATACTTTTTGACTGCAGGTAACGTCTCTTAAATCAAATGTTACCGACTTGGAAATGAAAATTGAGGCTAAAGAAGAAGAATGTAATGCTCTCCGCAAAGAATTAGAAAGTGTAAATGGCATTTTGTTGGGTCTCCAATCAGAATACAATGTGTTGGATGTGAAAAACAAAGATCTCACTTCTCAGCTGAGCAGTGTCACAGCCGGCGCTGCTCATTTGGAGAACATCATTCAAGAAGACAACTTTAAAATAGACCTCCAAGAAAGAACAATTAAAAAACTTGAATTTTCTGCTCTCGAAAAAGAGGAAATTATTAAAAAGTTAAACGAAGAAATATCAAGTCTAAGAATAATCAGTGATGAAGCGAAACAACTTGTTGCAGAGAAAGAAGCCGAAATAGCAACTCTAAAAACCAAGATAATTGAAGCTGATTGTTTAAACAATCGGATTGTAGAATTAACTAATGAAATTGACCGTTTGAACGGAATCTTGAATCCTCTTGAAGCCGAACAAAAAGAAACCGCAAATGCGTATGAAATGTTGCTTGAAGAAAACTCTAAGCTTAGAAATGATTTAGTAGAGCAGGTTGGTAAGAATACTTGGGTTGAAAAAGAGTTACATGCCCAACAAGATGCGGTCTTAAAACTTAACTCCGAACTAGAAGCTCACAGCAAAAAGTTACAAGAAGCTAATGAAATTTTGGAAAAAGCGTTTGAAGAAAACAGGTCACTTAAAAAACAAGTGGAGAATGATGATCCTCAGTTGAAAGAAGCTTATCATAAACTGTTGGATGACTATCAAAGGTAATTTAACACTTTTTTTGTAGATAATTTCTTTCTATACTTTGGCCAGTTGCTTTGCATTTCATCCGCTCTGACATTTCCATGTTCTAACAATATAAGCCAATCTTAAGCATGTGACATTAAATTTGTTTGTACTTTTGAAGACAACTAAAGATTCAGAAATACGTTTCCTATAACTAAAAGCAATATAGTATCTGCTTTGCTCCAATCCCCCTTGTCCAAAAGCCAATAGAACACTAGATAGAATAAAAGTTAGACCCATTAAAGAATGTATTTAATGTATAATTTAAATTATTAGCTTTAAAATAAGTCATATTAAATGTTGAGTTGAAATTTTTTGTTACCTTAGGATGAATTATGAACACGATGAATTAAAATCCAACTTGGACAAAGTGCGGCAGTCAGTGAGAGCCGAGTATGATGAGATATTGAAGAAGATGAAGGCTCATATGGTGAGTTAAAAGAGAATGTTAAATGATTCAGACACGGTAACTCTAACATCAAGGTCTATGCTAAATTTATTCCTAGAAAGAGGGTTGTCTCAGTTGTCTGTAAATTAAGGTCTCCAGCAAGCTCCAGTCAAGACCAAACAAGCTTTTTAAGATATTTATAATAAACATTTCTCGGTAAATGCTCAAGGCTCAGGCTTGGCTCGATTGAAAATCTCAGGCTCGCACACCTCTATAGAATTTATTATAAACTGAGTTGTAATGGATTTGGATTGTTCTTTGAAATATAGTAACCTTTTTTGATACTTTTTACAATGTTATATACTGTTTTCCGTTTGTTTAGAAATCCACTTGTACACGTGCACTTGAAGTTAAAGATGAAAAGCATGCCAAAGAACTGCGAATCCTTCAAGAAACGGTAAGACCTTCACATTAGTTATCTTGTAAATTTATCTTTAAATTAGTGTATGGTTTTTTTTAATTTCCAATATATTTTTCTTAACCCTTCTCGTACGGGCAAAATCGTGACACAGAATGTGGAAAATTATAGGAAAAAAGAAAAATTAATTTTCCTTATTTGTGTGTTTGTTATACAAGTATACATAAAATAAACACAACGGAACACTTCATACTGTCAAAATAATTTTTTACTCGTTTTTAACTATGCAAATATATCCGCTACCCGTCCGCGGATGAGTAGAAAAGCAGCGGATATATCCGCCACCCTTCTTTGAAGATATGACCATGTGAACATTAGGCAATAAATAAAGAACAATATGTAAACAATAAATAAAGACAACGTAGTGTTGAGTGCATATCCGCTTCCCGTCTGGAACATCAAAAACCATAAGCGGATATATCCGCCACCCGTCCTTTGTCGACAAAACAACAAAGTGATCATAATGTAAATATCTAGTATAGGCTACTAGTACTGTGAAATTAGAAATATTGTTTGTTGTTTTGAATGTACAGTATTTCCAAGGGAGTACCAGTACATGGAACCTAACGGCCATCTTGGATTTGCCCGCCATAAGAGCAATGTTAATTTTGTTACTTTCAAACAGCCGCTGACGATTTATTAACCACCTCAAAATACTATTTTCAAATACCAAAGTAATTGTAATTTAAATATCTAGTATAATGTGCGATTAGAAATTTGCTTTGTTGTTTTTTATTGTTTTATAAGTTAGAAAGTCTAGGCTCTAAGGACTCTTTAACAGTCAAAATAATAATTTTTAGTTTTTTAACCTAGCAGTTCCTGTTATTAAGAGTGTATAACAATTTGTAAAGTTTAAACTGATGTAATTATAGAAAAATAAAAAAATGTTGTATGAGTATTTCAACTTATACATAGTTTTTTTCTTTTGGATACCTATAGTTTTTTATTACTTTTACTTTGCCCCACAAATTTTTAGATCAGAGAAGTTATTTGAAAAAAAATTGTAACAATAGCCAACTTTTAAGAAAACTGGTAAAAATGTGGTGTCATTTTGTACTATCTGGTAGTATTGGCATCGCTTTAAAGTAAATAAATGTGTTATTAAAGTTCAACACTCCTAGATTGTGGTTGAAAAATCACTAATCAACAAAACATCTAGTTGTTTAAAGGAATTTATACTATTTTCAAGTAATTACATAATATATTTATTTATAATGCATTCCAATAGGTAAAGGCACATCAGGACCACAATAGTCAACTTAGCACCAATCTTTGGGACACAAGCGACAAATTACTCATCACCAAAAATGAAAACGAAGAACTGAAAAAGGAAAATGATGACCTTAAGAAATCAATTTTGGAGCTCAGAAGAATGCTACACATTAATCAGGTAATTGTTAGTAGTTTAAATATTTTCTTAATTTTTGTGTACCCATTGAGATTCTACAAATTATCACCTTTAAAATTAATAATATTGATGCTATGAAGCTTTAACGCTTAATTATTTTAGGCTAGGCCTATCTCTTGTAATTGTCATGGATTATACACCATATCCAGATTTCGGTCTCCTCCCTCATCTGTACTATCCGTATTAAGTATTAACCCTTCCCAGACTATAGGCGGATATAAGCTAGCACTTCGAGCATTGCGGATATATCCACCGATTATTACGACAGTTAATAATGTTATAGTTGGTTGTCAACATCATTAATCTTCGTAAAATATTTTTTTTATTCAACTATACCTTTAACCGATGTACTAGGAATGTTTTTCTATAAGAATAAGACATTTAATAAAAATAAAATAAAAAATGTAAAAAATAAATGTATCTATATATATATATAAAATCCAATGTATGTATGTTTGTTTGTTTGTCCTTTATGGACTCCAAAACCGCTGGACAGATTGTAATGAAACTTTCAGGCATTATTAAGCAATATTCAAGGATGGTTTGTGTGAAGTTTGGTGCAGATCCGTCAAAAGGGCTCCGCCCCAGTGGCTCTGGAATTTCCAATGTTAACCTTATGAGTACTCATATTTAAATGGAATTAAGAATCTTAACAGCTGATTCAACTAAACAATTTCATTATGTGATGTTCAATAGCATAACAAAGTTAATAGGTTTACCAACATGGTGCAGCACCATTATTTTTTTTAATTTATGACAACAGCTAATTTGTAACCAAAAGGTGAGTGAGCGTAGCGAACGAACTTCAACCAAGACGTGATTGAGCCATGCGAACGAGCTCATCTTGAAAATGAACGAGCATTTGACATAAAACCACATTAGGACAGGACAACGTCTGTCGGGCCAGCTAGTGAAATTATAAAAAAGTGTTTAAAATAAATATTTTGGACAAAAGTGCTGCATAGGCCAACTACTTTTAACATTCTATTAACTATTATAGATATAAAAAATATCTTTTTTTGTTTTTTATTAAAATAAAATAGTTTTGCTGTCTGTATGTACATAGGCCTACTATAGGCCGTCTGAGAAGTTGGGTTAACTAGTTGAAGCCTGTGGCACGGAGCCCAGTATGTCACAGCCCGCACTACTACGTCCCCGGACTGTAGGTTTGCTTACCATTTATTTGATAAATTGTCAAGGAAGCTTTTTATTGATAGTTTTATTGGTTATACATTGTTTTTATACATTTTTATATAAATAGATGTATAAAATTACATTGTTTGTTTAATGTTCTAACACCCAGAAAAATCTCTTTGTGCCATTGTGTGTTTTAGAGTTATTCACATTTTATTTTAATAACTATTTGCTATTTGTAAAATTATTAATGCCTTGCAATTATTAAAACCTTTAATATGTTATTGTACAGAGCATACCAGATGGATTGCAAAGGACCAGATCACATGAACAACTTGGGTAAGCATGAATTTAATGTCAAGTTTTTAGCGAATTTCCCTATAGGGAAGTAGCTATTACCGTAGGTCTCATGGTAAGACTTAAGCCCGGGACCGATTTACTTTTTCATTTTGATGTCCCCAGAGGCCAAAAACACCATTCGTTCAAATTTTTATATATCTATATATAGAGATATATATATATATATATATATTTATTTATATATATATATATATATATGTGTGTGTGTGTGTCCATCCGCACGATAACTTGAGTAATTTTTGTCCGATTTTGATAAAATTTGGTTTGAAGGTGTAAGGCGGGATAAACTTGAATGAGTTCGCGAACCAGCATGATCGGACTATGGGAACGGGGGTTTATGGGGGGTTTTATGGGGTAAAAATAGGTTTTTCCCATTTTTGACCCTAAAAACACAAAATTTCACAATTTCTTTTTAAACCATTTTGTAGAGCTTAAAAAAACAAATAATTTAGTATATTAAAGCGTTATTATGCGCCTAATTGGTACGGAGAAAATTCTAAAAAATTGTAATTTTAAAATTCCCATGTAATTCTTATGGAGAATAAGTCAACTGTTGTAGTTTGCTTGTTTATGAACATATTTTGATTGACTTTGGAAAATACTTTTACTTCTTACTATTATCATTTTATAAAAAAAATCTTTTTTACCCTCCCTGTTGCAGCAAACCTAAGTACTCGTTAAACTAATTCTATTTAAATAGGAAATAAATGTGCTATTTTTATGAAGGCATTTTAGTGTAAATCCAATCAGGTTAATGGAAATTCGCTTAGTCTGCAGGTTTGCTGCGGCGGGGGTATTTTTTAATGACAAGAGTAGTCTGCTAGTAATGGTCCTATAGAATTTATAATAGCTGAGTGTAACTCATATTTTTGATAACAAATTATGCATTGTCTGTATTTAATCATTTTTAAGTGACTTCATCTACTCTGATATGGATATTCCATCATATTGAGAATACTCTGATTATTTATATCACTCTTTTCATTGAAGCAAATTAATTGTTTTTCCTCTTCCTCGACTAGGACTTAATCTCAGCTAATCTACTTTATCTCTTCTTCCTAAAAATTGAGTTAAATAAATTTTGCTTAGAAATAAACATTGGATAGGAGGAATAGATATACAACTATTTCTCCTGAGTAATGGAGTTACAGGCAGTTGATAGCACACACCTTCAAATCTGAAGGTTGAAGGTTTGATTCCAAGCAAGATCTTTCCCCTCAGATGCCATTTGTCATTGGGGTATCAATTAAAGATGCTATCTAACAACAAGGATAAATAAGACGGGTTTGGACAGTTCCTGTACAAAAAACGTCACTGCTAATGGCTTTGATACACAAATAACAAATTACACACAAAGTTTTAAACACAATTAACTCCCTTCGCCTACTGAAGGAACAAAAATCCCTTGCTGTGTTTTAAATTTTGTGAGCTATCAATTAACTATGATTCTTTAGGTGAGTTAGTTGTGGGTCCGTTCCTTTTCCCTGGAAGCACCAAAGAAAGCCATTAATTTTCAAAATTCTGGACTGAAATAGTTTAATTTCAATGTGTTTCTGGTTTTGTTGCAGCATCCAGAACCAGAAGCTGAGGATGGTGGAGGAAGAGACCGTCACTGTGTCCAGACGACAGAGTATTCGAACCGTTCCTTCAGGAATCGGTATTAAACTATTGCCATCGGGTTCGTCACTAACATTACAATTAGCACTGTCATTAATACTGCACCGCATGCTGTAGATTGCTTGGAAATATTTTTTTGTACGGCATTAAATTACTGAAAAATTTAGTGAAGCAGATAATATTAGTACAAAATACATTTTTCTTAGGTTACAAGAAAAAGAAAATTAAAATTTACAAATAATTTAATTACTAAGCTCAATTGCAAATATAGACAGTCTTTTGTTAACACCTATTGTCTTTTGTTTTTTTAAATTGAGCGAATTTCAAATTTGTTCCTTTTCTGCTAGTTCTTTGAAGATTAAGATATCTAAAAAAGTTTTTCTATGCCAATTTAATTTGATACACAAAGTCATCTTCTGATATAATATTCAGTCTCAGTTTAACCACCTGTGAGTTAAATCACATACTATAGAGTAGACCATTATTCTATAGTCTGGGGTTAAATGCTTTTAAACATCTTTGCATGCCCACTACTAATTTTTACTTCCAGACCTCGCTTTTTATGAACGAGTATTTCTTAAGATCAATATTTTAATTCTTGTGTGTTTCGCAGGTAAAGTGTTTCCGTCGGAAGACGAGGCTGAAGAAATGTTCAACAACGACTGCCTGGCTGATCTGAAGGCTGGCCGGTGTCAGGTAACCATATAAAGATTTTTACACACAACATTACAAACATAAAACTCCTTTAGACCAACCCAAAGTATAGTAAACCCCTAAACCAGAATAATGGGACATAACTGTTTCGGGTAGCATAACAATTCAATTGACAAATCAATGGTTTGTACAGTATTTATTTGTTAATTTTTTGCAAAGTAAGGTTTGTATTGCATTTTAGAACCCCGCAATTCACATAGATTTCAAATGAAGGCCAGGATTTCAAAACAACTCTAAATATCAGGGCTCCATGGAGGTCTCTCTTTTGTCAAGAACTAAATGTTTGCCACTGTTTATGCTAATATAGATTACTAGTGCACCTGTTGCTTGAATTCGAGCAATTGCAAAGTATTCCAGTCGTGTTTCAAAACGAACAACAGTCATAATTTCCGATTACTTTTAAAAGAGTCAACCCAAAAATAATGTAATCAATCACTCCACTACAGCTATCAAAACTGAAAACGAATTCACTCTGAAAACGAACGCTCACTCCACTCCAGTTATTGAAACTGAAAACAAACTCACTCTTAAAACGAAAGCTTTTTTGTGTATCATATGAACAGCTGTAATTAATACAAATTATTCGTCTGTTAAATAGACAAAATATTTTCTTCATAAGAAATACATTGGGATTTTGATGGCCTGTGGGGCAAAGCCTGAGAATTTTTATTACCGGAATTGGTGAAAGGGGCGTCCACACAAAAAATTTTGACACATCGTTTGTAAAATTCCGTCCATTATTAACCGAGGAGTACTGTTTCGTAGAAATCGCCTTCACTTATAAGGATTTCCTTCCCAAGTGTTCTGGTCAACCTAGGTTCTGGTTGAGTATTACAATTAGGGTGGTTTATACTATACTTCAATTAATATTATACATACAATCTAAATAAAATAGTTAAAAGTTAATTAGAGTCATAATTATTCGATAATTGCACAAGACTAGCTACATTATTTTGGTTCTCGTTGAACCAAATCTAGGAGGGAAGGATACTTTTTACAAAAAGAGTGTATTAGGATAATAATCAAGAAGCAAAAGAGTCAGGAGATCAGAAGGAAAATTAAAATTTTGGGCTTATGAGTAATCGGGGTCTTTTGAGCAGTTTTACAAGGATCAAAGTTTGTTTTTTTCCCCAAGAAATTCTTCTTGACAATATTACTTACTTGAGAGTTTAAGAACAGCCGGCATATTTTAGGGATTGTTATTTTAGCTTTTAGAAGGTTCCAGTTACTTCTCAAGTTTTTTATGAAAAAAATCGTTGCTGTTATTCTAGTCCTTTACATAAAATAACATTGTATTCAGTGTTTCAAAATCTTACAAAATATGTCTTCACATACAATCTCGTGGAACTGAAATTGAACAACCACTCTCTCTTACAGAACCTCAGTGGTTTTCCAAAACAACGTTTTGTAAGTAGAAATACTCATTGCAATGGTAGTTAAAATTCATCATCAAAATGATGATTATTGGGGTAACAACTTCAGTCCCCCTGGTTTTTTATATCTTCAGCACTTTTCTGTTCAAATACTGTTTTTTTCTTAACAACTGATTTATTCTCCTCTAACACTTCATCTGCATGACTAACTGTAACACTGCCTGTCCTCTCAATCTGATAGATTATGTGATTATTCTTGGATCAAAACAATTTTTTTCAACAAATCTTAGAGTTTACAAACATATTACTAAATTACAAACAGCGTCAAATAGTTCACACAAACGTTCAAGGTATAATGATAAGAATACTATGCCTATACTGAGGGGTTAAAATCAATTTAAAAATAAAACACAACGTTTAGGTTAGCAGCAAGTTTAATGGGAAAATGGGGCGGCTATAGCCCAGGCTGGCAAAATATAGTGGTTTTAGCGAATTTCCCTATATGGAAGTAAATATTACAATAGTCGGCACGGTGAGACCTAGGCCCGAGACCGATTTACTTTTTCATTTTGATGTCCCCAGAGGCTTAAAACACTATCCGTTCAAAATGTTTTATAAACATGTGTCCGTGAACGTGATAAATTGTTTAGTCCGACTTTGATGAAATTTGGCTTGAAGGTGGGATGAAATTGAATGAGTTCGCGAACCAGCATGATCGGACTGTAAGAACAACGTTTTATAGGGGGTTTTATGGGGTAAAAATTGGTATTCCCATTTTCAACCATCAAAACAAAAAGTTTTATAATTCCTCTCTAAACTATTTTGAAGAGCTTAAAAAAACTGTCGTACGTTGCTTATTTGTGCATATATTTTGATCAAACTTGGCAAACTTTTCTATTTTATACTAACGTACTAATATTTTACTAAAAAACACACTTCATTACCCTCCCTGTAGCAGCAAACCTAGGTAATCATTAATCCTAATATTATTTTAATTGATTTAAGTAAGAATCAAATCTAATCAGAAAATTAGAAATTCACTTAGTCTGCAGGTTTGCCGGGGCCGGGATATTTTTATTTTTCCGCCAATTGACAATTATGGATGGGAATCAAAAGCTAAGTGGTTCATATCTAAGTTCCACTTGATCTATCTTTGAAGTGTGGAATTTTATGTGAATGTTGAAATATAATGCCTGGGATGGGTCTTGGGTACAGGGAGGTAATTTGAAATAAAATAATTATGCTAATTTTATGTTTTTGAAGGTGACTTTAAGGTTAGAGAATCCAATCTTTAAACGCATGAACTTGTGCATTAATCGGTGACATAGTTCCTTGATGATCTTCTTACCATATATTGCCCTTCATCCTTCTTTTAGGGTCTATAACTTATTTGATATTTCCCTACATTCCTCTTACTTTTTAGACGGGGTCCGTAGGCCATACCTTCAGTATAGATCACCTTCCTACTTCTAGTCGGGTCCAAATTTTTGGTTCTTAAGTCGAAATCGGGTCGGGCCAAAATCTGGTTGCTTTGGAGAGTATGGTTTTTTGAAATATTAACTGTAATGCTACAATTGCTTATAGAATTTTATGAGATGATCCCTTATATTGCGGTGAAATCAAAGACATATGCTGCGGGCACGTTAATATTGTGAACTACTTCCACATTTACATTAATATAGAGAATATCTTTCACAGTCACTGCGACATCACCAATGTCTCCTATGATAGCAGCAAAACCGTGAACACCACCGTCAATTTCTGATCATGCACCTTTATAGATGCTTTCTGTACTTGCAAAAATTAAAAGCTTGGATCGACCCCACTCAGGATTGTTCTGAAAAATATCTCTGTCCCGAACCGACCCCTCAGGACAACTGCTAGCCCAACCCGATCAGAAAATATTCAGGACCCGCAGACAAAAAATCATTAGATTCATTCTCTCTAATAACACCATTTCAGTTTTTATTTATCTATAACAATCACACTTGTGAACATCGTGACATTCTCTCTACTCTTATGCAACCTAAACTATTCTCTTGTTTCCACATTTCTAAATTCACCATAACAGCATAAACGTACTCGAGGATCAATATGAAGATATTTTACATTTTATTCCCTTTTATTGTTAGGGAACAGTCCAAGTTTTGGTCTTGTTAATGTATCAACGACTTTTAACTTCCTTTAACGATAGACAATAATCTGTTCAAAATTAGTGTTATATAAATTTTGTTTGTTTGTTAAACTGGTTCAAACTTAAATTTGTTAAATTACTGTAAGTGATGCAAACCTTAAAATTTTTCCATCTTCTGTAGATGCAATGCTTACAGTATCCAGGGAACTGGTCTAGTGGTAGAGCATGGAAATTTTGGCCCTAAACTCCTGGGTTCAAATCCTGCCAATCACCAACAGATATTATCTAAGTGATAATGCCACAACCTTCTATGCCTAATCTGAAGTAATGTGAAAATGGTTATGGGCTTGTGTTTAGGTAAAAAATGTCTACAGTATACAATGCCAATAGTGTATGTTAAACTAATTTTAACATGTTATACATTGTGACCCTTGGTTGGAATATATAATTGATAAAATATAAGAATTACCTTATCCAACCACAGTTGCTGGTATGACAACTAGTTTTGTTCCTAGAACATCGTCAGGTCATTGTATGCAACCACATCATCAATGTATTAATACATTGTGGTATGTCAAAAGATTCTTTAACACTCTGTCAGAATCACAATTGTAAAAACTAGTCGTGTTTATAAAATTATTAAAATTGAATAAAAAGTTATAAAACTGGTTAAAACTGCAAAGGCTGGCCAGCACTCTCTTATCACTGTCCCTGACTAAATAAAACTGACTGAATCATGAGGTGTCTTCATCTTCATCTCTCCAGTGCCACCTGTATTTCAGTTTGTTTTGTTCTTCTTATTTGATACTTCTTTGATTTGTAGCTTGTATCAAATATAATACAAAGTATATATCATATACTTGTATATGTATCAAATATAATATTTGACTGGAAGGAAGTCTGATAATTTAAAATGTTGAATGGGTTGAGTTTTTTAGCTTTGTAGATGGTGAATTCTTCTTTAACATCAAGCTTAAAACTTTTTGGTAATACTTCCATTATTACCATGTTCTTATCAATAGATGTGTAGTTGTGTAATTCTGATATTAAATGTTCAGCATAACTGCATAGCTGATGTGATCTTTTAGGTATATGTTCTTTAAATCTTTGTTTGAAAGATCTTCCAGTGTGGCCGATGTAGTACTTTGGACAGTCGTCACAGTTAATTCTATAAATGCCTGAATTTTCATAGTTTGTGGCAACAGGTTTAGCGTAAAAAAACTTTTGGAGTGTATTGTTTTCGGAATGTCACATTGTTTCTATTAAATATTTTGGTGATGGCGTTGTTGATTTTTCCATAGTAGGCCTATTGTATTTTAATGTATTTCTTCTCTGACTTTTCTTTGTTGATGTTCATGTTCCGCTTTTTCTTTTGTATTATGGAATCAATCATTTGAGATTAGTAACCGTTTACTCTGGCGATATGCTTGATAGTAAAGTATTCCTTGTTATAAGCTTCTTGGCTCAAAGGGTATGATAATAGTCTGTGGACCATTCAGTGCTGGCCAGCCTTTACAGTTTTAACCAGATTTATCACTTTTTATTCAATTTTAATAATTTGATCAACATGACTAGTTTTTACTATTGTGATTCTGACAGTGTTTTAAAGAATCTTTTGACATAACACAATGTATTAATACATTGATGATGTGGTTGCATACAATGACCTGACGATGTTCTAAGGAACGAAACTAGTTGTCATACCAGCAACTGTGGTTGGATAAGGTAATTCTTCTATTTTATCAATAATTTTAACACTTCATTTGTTGTGATTTGTTGCCAGGTACCCACGGAACCAGACAGAGTTTCTACGTTGATGTACCGCAATTCCCTTTGTCCTCCTCACCTTAAGTCATCATATCCCGCTGAGACACAGTTCCTGCCCATTGACAATCTGCACGAAGACGACATTAAGGTGAATATAACCTCACACACTACACAAGTTAGAACTTGTACACCTATGTAGTCACCTAATTATTGATTGAATAAATATATAGGATGGAGAGGACACAGCTAACTCACCTGATGAAAGGTTGCAGACAAGTCAAAGAACACATAAAATCACACACATAATAATACTTAATATTTCGCCTCTTTCAGAGGCTTCTTCAGAAGTAGGCCTAGATAGTAGTTACAAGAACAACGTAATTATTGATTGGTGAATGTGTTAAATGTTCAGTGTCGTAGTCATTTTAAATCATAACTAAAGATTTTATTTGACTACTTGACAATAGACAACAGACTATAACATGATAATAGCTTTACGATACATAACCAAATGTCACTAATCCAAACCACCTGTTGAGGGAAAATCACAATATTGCAAATAATAATCAAAGATAAAAAGACATGGTGCAATATCTATGAAAGATTTTTTAAGAACACAAACTGATATTTCCTTTTAAAAGTAGATTTTTAGGTGTCGTGTTGATGTACCGAACCTTATTGATTTATCTGTTATCGTTCTGAATATATTAAACCTGTGCGGGACTTTATGTACACCCTCTATGTTTTGAAGTAAAAATAAATAGTTTTTGAAAACATCTTTAAGTTTAAATCAATTGGAAATTTGTCATCCCATTTCTTGTTTTAACAAGGTGTGTAAATAATCTTTCAGGGAAGGGGAAATGGCGATGATACCAAACTTCTCCCAGACAAACGTCGGAAAGATCGTACACAAGTAAGTTTGTCAAATTGTATTATTATGTTTGGTTTGTGTTTGGTGTGTTTAACTTGAATATATTATGACTAATAAGCTTTATGTGTGCTTAACACAGATAAATTTGTATAATGATAAGGTAATAAATTTGTTAATAATGACTGTCCTCTTTTGCAAAATTAGCAGACAAATTTTACAAATTCACAAACATACATCTAATAAATGCCCTTAACTCCAGCTGATTCCTTTTTTAATCTAGGCAAAATAGCTACTTTAGCTTTGCAATGTATGAACTGAAAAAAACTACTATAAGAACACTAGAATATCACTGACTTGTCTTTGCTGTATACTGAACTTCAGATCTGCATTCCATAGATCTTCTTTCAGCCAATGGTCACAGGTAGAGGGAATAGCCTTTTAAAAGATGTAAATGTTGCAACCTCTTCCTGTTTTGAGTTTCCTTCAGCTGTTCATACAGGAATGATTTAAAATTGTTTCAGACAAGTTATAAAAGACCAGGTCCTCCAACTCCTAGTAAAAATGGCGGCAGATCTAATCAACAGGTCTGTACTTGAGGATTGCACAGTTTCAGATTGCATCGCATGCTCTATGCTCTGCACAACTTGTACATAGCATTGTCTTATGAACGTTTTGCATGAAAGACTGCTTTGATTAGTTGCATCCTTCATGACTGATCGTTTAATAAATAACAATTTTTAGTTGCGGCAAGCATGAAAATATTAGAAAACCTTATAGGTTTCTTAGGAGAAATAAGTTAATTTAGTTTCAAGTTTAATGTATTTTGTTTAAGTTTTGTGCATGGCGTGGCAACTGATAATTTTATCTACAATTATTATGGTTAAATATTGAATATTTTCACTTTTCAGCCTAAATATACAGGAGAACTGCTAGTGACCCCCGGGTCCAGCGTAATATTTCAAAAATATTTGTTTTCTAACACTTATTAAGATTTGTTTACTTTCAGCATTTTAATAAATAACTAAAAATTTATTTTTCTGTGAGGTAACATTTTTAACCTGTGTTTTGACTATTATTAGCATGAATGCATGAAATAGATCTTAAAACTTTTAACATAGTTGGCTAAAATATTGATATGATCAAATACACTTACTTGGACTGTATGTGTTACTAACTTGCAATTTGTATTGGTTTATTGTTTACTAGCTGTTGCACTTATGCCACTAACTAACGACATGAATATGTGACTTATATACCGGTTGTCCCATAATACTTCCCCCTTGGTTAATTTTTGAACGTCTCCATATAATCAAACGAGCTTCGATACATGTTACTAGGGTAATGTACTAATGTAAAGTACTTTTTGGTGGTATTTATCCGGCAGAAATAGGACCATGATACTGACGGATTAGTGAAAATGCTAGATTACTGGAATGTTATCAATAAAAACACTTAAAACACGTCTCCGAATATCGCCTGATCGAAAACCGCTATTGCTGCAATCGGGCAAGACGATGATGATGTTTCCGTAATCGTGGGAGTCATTGATAACGTCTAAACATCTGCGGGAGATGTTCATGGTTTTTCCAAGATCGCGCATGACGATGATGACGTTTCCGTGACCGCGGGAGTGAATAAGAATGTTAAAATGGCCGTGGGAGATGATACAATTTTTGCCAGACCACGGAAGATGTTCATGATTTTGCCACGATTGCGCAAGACGACAATGACGTTTCCGTGACCGCGGGAGTAGTATGATGTATAAACGGCCGTGGGAGATGTTAATGATTTTACCGCTATCGCGAAAGTCGATGATGACGTTTCTGTGACTGCGGGAGTGGATGATGATGTCTACACGGCCGCGGGAGATAATCATAATTTTGCCGTGATCGCGGAAGACCTCATCCGTCAAAAGACGTTGTATTACTGGAGTGCCGGAGTGGTGCAGTGCCGGATTAGAGATGGTCTACTGTATTTTGAAAATCTTTGCCCACCCCAAATATTGGTTTTTAAGGTTAACTTTTTAATTTATTTTTTTTTATTTCATCACCCACCTCCAAATAGGGGTTGGTATTAAAAAAAAATCCAAACCCCACCAGCAGCCCCTATTTGGGGGCGGGTGATGAAAATCATGTTAAAAAGTGTGTGACATCACCCTGGTCACACACGTGTAGCACTGAAGGTTATTTGAAAATTTTCAGCCATGAAAAAAAGTTATGGAATGTAAAGTTTCAGTTAAATTAACATCTAACATTTCTTATCATAACTTTTTGAAAATTAGTCCTATCAAAGTCGGATTTGCGACATTAATTTCCTTTTCTAAAGCTCTTTAAAATTATGTGCTACTTGATAGGGGTTGTCATTTAAACATTTTAGTTACCTTCAGCAACCCCTTTTTGGGGGGTGAATTTTTAAAATGCTACCAAAAAGTACTTTCCATTACCGAAAGTAACGTGTATCGAAGCTCGTTTGAATTTATGTAGCCGTTAAAAAATTAACCAGGTGGGGAGTATTATGGGACACCCGGTAGCCTATTTCAAACCTTAAAACCATTAAACTCGTGAAAGAAACATAAACATGAATCAACATGGATCAAGTTTAAAAATTAATGGTCAATATTTATTTGTGTTAGTAAAAATCCATATGGAACTGTGTTGTGTCGTGTGTTGTTCTGGTATTAGTATTCATTTCACCCAATGCAGTTCTGAATATAAATTACTTGTTTCTGATCAGGTTTTCTCCATTGTTGCCAGCTTTGGTGTAAACGGTTGTATAAACAACAATTACGCCAAAAATAACAGCAGTTTTAAAACCATAAGCTACAAAAATCTTAAATTTTGAATCTCAAAACTCAACGGTTTTGAGATTTGAGATTCAGTTTAGTTTGACACATCACCAATGGTTGAGAGTTTCAACACCAATGGTTGGAAGCCGGTTTTTCAGCCCATTGATCTTCCCAAATAAACCCTATTTGAATGTTTTGGTTTCTAGATAATTATAATACATTGTACTCTTGTTGCAGGGAATGGAACTGAGAAGTGTCGTTGGTTCGCCGAGAACTGCACTTCGAGAGGTGAACGATGAGAACCGAAAACCCGGGACTCCCAGTAGACTGTTCTCTAACATATTCTCAGCCAGACAACGTAGAAGTGAGGTGAGTCGAGTTTGTAGTGCAAATTTCAAATCATTGTTGTGAATTTCTAATTATTGTATCAATTTTTAAATATTGTTATAAAGTTTAAACAAATTGTTTATAATATTGGCTACTGTTGATTTTATATTGTTTATATTTCTATTCTTAGTCTATCATTAATTAGGGTTTTAAAAATCTGTCCCATCTTACTTCATAAATCTCTAGTTTTCACTTTGATGTAAATAGTCAAAAATACATTACATAGGCCTATCTTATGATTATACCTTAGAATAGGGTACTTCTGATGTTGTACAGGGTGGCATTAAATGGATTAAGCAGTTTCAATCGTTTAGTAGCTGTGTAGGTGGACACTTCCGGTCTCGATGTCATCATTCAGTCATTCACTAGGACCATTTCAATTCATGTAAGGCCATTTCAGTAGCATCATAGTTTAGACCAAATAACATCCAAGGTTATTCTGTGTGTGCATATATCTAAAAAACAACAAGTCATGGTAGCGTCGCAAGGAGATTTTTGCCAGTGGCTTTTTATTCCACGCAACGACACTGTTCCTATTGCGAACACAAGTCAAACATTTGTTGATCAATGTTGGAAGAAAGCAAAAGCACTGCTCTAAAAACTAAGAAACACGGATGACAAGGTTCAGTAAGAACACCGGAAAATATTGAGTGTACGAGCCGAAGGAAGAGTTGGTTGACCGGAAAATATTGAGTGTACGAGCCGAAGGGAAGAGTTTCAGCAAGACATCAAATGCTGGTGATAATTAGGCTACTCACTGTGCATTTCACAACACATTTTCAGGGTTTTAAAAAATCTGATTCTTGTGATTACCAGCCAACATAATCAACCAACTTCAGGCAATTCTAATTTTATAATTCTTCTCAAGCTAGGGGCCAACAATCCAACAATTTTCATGTAACAGCTTTCTTTGCCGTGGAATGTCTTGTTTTCTGTCTGCTCATCCATCACTTTGACCAACTCTTCCATTTTCCTGTGTTCTATTATCTTCCGAGTTTACTTTCTTCCTACTTGTTGACAATTCTCTTGTGTTTGCACTAGTAAAAATAGCAGTGTCATTGAGCAGAATAAAATACTTCCAAAGAGAAGCTCTTTGATTTGCAATCACTGACAAAACATATGCTTTGGAAACATGCACACACTGCATAACCTCCATGTTGTTTGGTCTAAACTATGAATAGCACCTGAAATTGTATGGTCCACTTTTGACTTTTTGTCTGGTATTCACGATTCATTAAAGGAAACACTTAAATAAAATCCATTTTGTTGTTATGAGAAACATTGCTTGAGCACTCACGCAAATTTTGCAGTAGCAGGTAGGCCCACCGGTATCATACATGAGATTTTGTTTGAAAACTACTCAAATATAAAATGGTTAGGTTTGATTAGAAAGGGCTTATTGCCTGAGAGTTAAAGAGACAAAGGACAGGATATCTTTGAACAAGTATAATGGATGGTGTATTTCAGTTTGTTTGGTACGTATGACTTAACGTCAGCTGGTGTTACCAGGCCCTTTAAGCATAGATGACTGCCAATGCAGACAGGCAAACATAACCTCTAAACTTTAACAGTGATTATCTCAAAACATCAGTTTTTTAGATAAGCTCATTTAGCAGCTACAGCCTCAATAATTGTAGGTATCCCTTCACAAAATGAATTGTAGTGGGGTGCCTACATTTCTTAAGGGTGCGCTCTACCCGTCTGGCGCGCGCAAATGTAAGGGTTTTAGTTCTTCCTGATTGTAGCCCCAATTGTGAACCGATTTAAAAGATCTTGGTGTCATATTTTCCGTCAAATGTTATTGTAGGTTTCCCGTTTTTTAAAATTTTGATAATTTAAAAAATTATGGGCTCAAAGGTTGGTGAAAAATGTAAAAAGAGGCGTTCTTTATCATGAGTTTTAATACATAAAAATAATTTTTAGAGAAAAAATAAAAAACGGGAGACGTGCAATAGATTCTTAAAAACAAGAACCTGGAATTAGTTTACTAAAAAGTTGAATGATAACTATGTAATCACGCAGACTCGAAAGGCTTGCAAGCGCTCTTCAAGGCGCCGTGCAGTGGCGCGGCCATGCGGCCAACGGCTCAACCTGTCGTCGGCTCTCCCACCACAGCCATCGATCGATATTTCCCCTCCTCTCGGTTGATTCTATTCTATCTTTGCGTCGTCGCCGTTTTTACCATACTAGTGTCCCTGTCCCTGCTGCTCGGAGTAATTGTAACAAAAAACCTGCTTGCGTATTAAATAAGTAAATAGATGAGTATACTGTCCTCTTTGTAAACAGTTATACTCAGCCAACGCAACTTGCTTGCACAGATTCAGCTTTAATACTTTACCAAAATATAAGTTTGTTTATTAACGTCGGGTATGAGATTGTTCTAATAACAACCATAATAAAGAGTTTTTTTTAGAAAACCAGTACTCAATAGTACTGTTTTATTAAAACAGCATTTTTAAATTTTTGTAATTAACCCCTCAAAGTTGGGGACTTGAATCTGATACCTCAAATGTTCTAGCTAGACTATTGACCACTCAGCCATTCAACTTCAAGTTAAAAACCACTACAAGTCATAACTCGGGTCTACAAATAAAATACCCTGTCGCAGCAAAACTATTCACAAAGCAAATTTCAACTTGTATGATTAAAGTATTTTTACTAAAATACTTCCAGAAATAAGACAAACTTATTCCTATTTAAATAACATTAGATTTAACGAGTGCTTAGGTGTGCTGCTACGGGGAAGGTAAAAAGTGTTTCTTGACCATACGTCAGTATACTGAAATTAATGAATTTGCCAAATTTTATCAACATACAGTGTATCCATAAACAAGTAAATTAAAACGGTTTTAATTTTCTCCATAAGAATAACATGGTAATTTTTAACAACACTTTTTTCAATTTTCTTCCTGACCGTAGGCATACAACAGCGCTTCAATATACTAAATTACTCTGCACCGAGGGGTTTTAAGTGGCTAAGGCCTTATACTGCTCTACTAGGCTACAACCTCAAAATCCCATCCTCATCCCCAAAACCATGGCGCAGAGCCGTCTGCGCATGCGCGCGCGCGGGAAGATGACAACTGAGGCGACTACCTAGGCGACTACCACGACCACGTGTACCTCACTCGCTTGCACACTTGCACTGATTTTCACCGTGTTTTGAGTGTTTTGGTCTTTATTGTCATTTCTGGTGTGCTTCAAGATGCCCAATCCTAGGATAAGAAAAAAGAAAAAACTTAATTTAAGTGTCAGAAGGTTGAAGAACAAGGGGAGTGAAAGTTTACATCGTTGGCGGGAATTACAGAAAAATAAGGACGAGAATAAATTTCGTTAAAATTCGGTTTGCAAACCGTTTAAAAAAATTTTGATTCATTCTAAAGTTATGAGGGCTTTTTAAAACTTTATTTTTAGCCCATTTTAACATTGTGCATTTACAAACTAAGATCATAATCTCAAAATAGTGCTAGATAAAGATAAGTATACACTACCAGTAATTGTCGACCTATTTTCACTTGGTTATGACTGATGTATTTTTTTCGGCCGCCATCTTGGATCCGCCATTTTGAAATGTGATAAATTATTTTAAATATGAAGGGGGTGTTGTGACCCATCATTTCGAACTACTTTTTTAAGCTGAAGACAATGCCGCAATCCATTTTTTGTTATCAAGTTTTATTTATGAAACATTGAAATTTTTTTGTTAAAAATGTCAATATTTCAAAATCAAAAAATGAAAATGAAAAACGGATCATGGAATTAAGTTCAGCTTAAAAAAGTAGTTCGAAATGATGGGTCACAACGCCCCCTTCATATTTTAAATAATTTATCACATTTCAAAATGGCGGATCCAAGATGGCGGCCGAAAAAAATACATCAGTCATAACCAAGTGAAAATAGGTCGACAATTACTGGTAGTGTATACTTATCTTTATCTAGCACTATTTTGAGATTATGGTCTTAGTTTGTAAATGCACAATGTTAAAATGGGCTAAAAATAAAGTTTTAAAAAGCCCTCATAACTTTAGAATGAATCAAGATTTTTTTAAACAGTTTGCGGCATTGTAATCAGGGTAAAAATTTAGTTCGAAATAATGGGTCACAACCCCACCTTTACATTTGAAAAAAAAATTGCATCCAATATGGCGGATCCAAGATGGCGGCCGGAAATGGCCACCTTGTCAAAATGAAGTACTTACTACCCAACAATGTTTGGAAGTGGTCTGGGATTGATATTTGAAAAAATGTAGAAAAAAATTGTGGGGGGGGGGACAATTAAAACTCACCCTGTATATTATGAATAACATTTTAGTAATTTTTCATTTTACACATGCTTTTAACCTTTTAAATTATATTACAAGTCAAATGTCCACCATCAGCCAAAGAGTTTTCACCAGTGGAGGCAGTAGAACGGAAAATTATAAAGTTCTGCACTAAAAATGAAGAAGGTGATTTGATCCTGAAAAGGCGGCACAGTTACTATTATCAAATCCAGGGACAACTACATATAACTGATAAAAAGTTCTGCTTATTTGTAGTATGGACTCCCCATGGTTTGTCTGTGGAAAAGGTTGTGAAGGATGACGAGTTTTGGATGAAACATATGGAGTCTCAGCTGAGGACATTTTACAACAAATGTATTTTACCGGAACTGGTAGATCCAAGGTATCCTAGGGGACTTCCTGTTAGGGACAGATTTTAAGCCGTCACCAGCCGTTAGGCCTACTGTGTTGGATTTTATTTTGTAATATTTATATAACGTGAATGTACTCAGTATACTAGCTCTTTTTGTAATATTTATTTTTCATTATTAGCTTTGCAATATGCAATATTGTGTACAAATATATTTCTCGTCATTCTACTCTCGTTTTATAGTACCTTTGACTATGAATACAAGTATCCAATAGTCAATTATATTACCGAATTGTTGCCAAAGTCCTCTGGTAATACACCAGATGTTTATTTCCAGATTTACTTTGTATACAAACAAGAGTAAAATTCAACATTTACTGTTCAATATTTATTAGTTACTATAATTACTTATGAATATTTAATTCATAACTAACTATTATACAGTATATATCCATATATAAAGTTTCTGGCATTTAATTATCACAATACACATTAAATAGTCATTACATTACGAAGGATGGGTAACTAAATTTACAAGCGTATGTTGTAGCGTATGTATGTAACAGGTTGCTATGACGTTTTTTGCGAGATAACATTAAAAAGGTAAACAAGACTCGCCACGTATGTTAGGCAACGAATCGTCTAAAAAGTACATTACCGTATAGGACACAGAAAAAGGGAAGAACAATCATATTTATATTATTGAGCATGGATTTTTTCTTTATGTGATAAAAGATACTATAAAAATGAAGTTTTCATATCACCATTGCCTTTTTTGTAAACATTAATTACATAATTATAATCCCCAAGAATGTGTGAGATACCGACTGATTCTGTGCCCATTACGGTGTAGCTACAGTTGGAATGGAGGTTAAATAATAATGAAAATCTTAAACATCAACAAAAGAAAATAAATAATTATAACAGTTGATTTAAAAAAAAAACTTAAGATTACTATAATTTAATGTAGTGATACTTTACAAAGTATAACTAAAGTATTTTATTTTTATTCAATAATGACAAACAAGACTCAATATTTAGGAATGTTTTACTTTTTACTGTATAAGCCTATGGGAGCGATAGCGAACGTCACGTTGCTGCCAGTGAGTGTCGGTGGCAGGGCATGATGGAGGTTTGAGCAGAAGCAAAAGATATGCGGACGCGCGAATAACAACCTGGTTGCGCTTGCGCGTGTGTGCGTCGGGAGCTCCGCAGGGCACTGCACTGCCTAGCGGGGAGCGGCAGTCAACTCGCGTCGCGAACCTCCTAGCTCCTCCCACCCCTTCCCCTCCAACTGGGTTGAACCGACACGGCGCAGTCTGGCGGACACTTCGAACATCGTTCTGAGATTTCCGAGCTGAGGTAGAGCCCACCCTTAATGTAAGCCTGCTTATCCTGACATATGTCTCCATAAAAGATAAAAAACTGTCATAGACAATCACTTTTCTTTTTTAAGTAATTTGTGTTTGCTGTATTAAACCACTCTCAATAAAATAACTGCCAAGAAGTTGATTTAGGTAAGGAAAATAAGCTGGTAGGAATTTATTCCTAATTTAAAAATAATATGACTTGCTTTAAACCTATTAACTCTGTCTGTATATATAAATGTGCAAAATTTTTTTCAGAACATACAATCCACCCCGGACAGACGAAGGCTGAGTTTTTTTGGTAAACTTGTCAAAAAAGAACCATCTGAGTAAACCTCAGTGCTCTCATGTTGTTTTACCTTTTAAGCCATTATCCAAATTAGCATAGACATTTAAAATTGAAAAGAACGTGTATTGTTTTATAAAATTGTTGTGATTATGTAAACTTGCAAACCACATTGTATGCGATTGTGTTCTGTATATGATATAATAAAATTTATTGTAATTATTGTATGTTGTTCATTCTAAAAGAATATGTTAAGTGAAATATGATATATTTTATAACTTAGTGTAGTAAAATTGTAAATATTGTAATCAATTTGTTTTAAATATGTGATGACATGTTTTAAAATATCTTTTTACAACTTTATGCTGAAATAAATTTTTAAAAAATTTTTGAAATGGTCTTTGTTTTTTTTATTTCTGTAGTTCCCTAAAAAGTAAAGTAGTCTAGGCTCATACCATGATGAAAATTATAAGACTTATTCCCTTCAAGGAAACATTTAGAAGTAGTTTTCTTACTAAAGTATTTTTTATATACAGTAGAACCTCTTTAATCCGAACCCTTGTAATCCGAACGTCCACTAATCCGAACGCTTCGTTGCTGTACTCTATACACAGTACAGTAGTTCTTTATTGTATACTGTATTTATTGATATACGCACCGTAATTATTTCAATTGTAATGTACACTACTGTTTATTCCCTATGTTCTCTACTGTATTATATAAACACTGTATTTTACTTTATAAAGCATTTTTCACTTTTCCCTAGCTATTGTTATGTAAAAACAACAATATGTTCTGTAATCCGAACTATTCAATAGTCCGAACTACCCCCGGTCCCAATTGGTTCGGATTAAAGAGGTTCTACTGTATATTTTTATAACTGTTTATTTACTTGATGTTTGTAATATTTATTTAGGAGGTCATAAACAAATCTAAACAGTTAATCAGTCTTGTTGGAAGATCAGAAAATTTCTTGAATTTAAAGGAGAAATATTGAAAACAGGAGGAGAATACAATTTAAAAAATAATAATTTAAAACTTTGCTCACTAGTTGCACAAAAATGACTATTTTAACCAAAGTACAAACATTCTGTTTCTTTAAAGTAGGTTTTTGGTTTGCTTGAATATTGTTTTTCTCAAACAGTTTTAGAATAAATGTATCAGCAAACTGACTTAAACTTTCTCCAATCAGCTTGTCAACAACACTAACCACTAATCATGGGAGTAACTATGATATTTTATAGGGATAATCACAAAAAATATTCAACTTTTGTACCCTATTTTTACAGGATTGGGGTTAGAGGTAAAAGGAACATAACATTTTTAACAAAATCGTTTTTAAACTGCTTTTGTAAAAATCTGATTTTTCTGTTATTTTATAGGAAAATCACCATTGAAAACTACATTTAAAAAATAGAATAAAACTGGGGATATCATTTATTAGAACCCACATTCGAAATTTCATCAAAATCGTACCACAGGTGTAGTCTGTAGCTCTGTCGCATCCACAGACATCACTTCAACAGACTTTTTGGGGTTCAGGGGGGCCCAAAACTTGAAAAACTGAAAATGTTTATCCATATAGTCCAGAGGGAGAAAGTAAAAACTAAAGATTGTTCTCGGTTTATGGAGTGAGGTTGAATTCATTTTCATTGTATTCACTTGAGTGGGTAAATTAATTTCAGGATTGTAAGATGTTAATTTTCATGTATATTAATGCACAATCTTGGGGTGCTATTTTTGGGAATTCTCATTCATAGAATTGATTGCTTCTAGTAATTAATGCTAAGGATAGGCTACATATATATAGTACAGCATGAGGAAACTGGAAACTTTTGCATAAAACAAAAAATTATAATTTTGTATTACCTTCTATATTAAAATTACTTTAAATAGAGTTTTGATTTTGGTTTCTTCACAAACTTCATAATATATACTACGAACACTTGTAATTATGATCACTCTAGTTTCATTAAGGGTATTTTCCCTATAGACTAACATTTCTTTCAACTGATTAAAGATTTTAGAGATTTTTTATGTATTGACCGTTATTTAACTAAACTGATTATACAAAACATGTTTATAAATAAATTTTAAAAAAATAGGAAAATAAAACAATCTAATTACCTACAGAAGTAAATGTTTTTATATTGATTTAATAATTATTTGTTGAGCAGAAACGATAATCTTACTTTGACTGATTACTTGAACAAAATTTACACAGTACAACTGTGACATTTAACTACCGGTATATAAGCTTTAGTAAAGTACTAGTATTCAATTCTCTGTTCAGATATAGGATTATTTAATTACATTAAAATTCAAACATATATAAATCGTAGCATAAATTTAACAACCACTTCTCCACCCAAGGGACCCAGGTTTGAAGAAAATGTTTCTGAATATTAATTATGTTTAAAGGCTTAAAACGTTGTCTAGTAAAGGGGTTAGCAAAATGGAATGAACAGCAGTGTAGAAGGAGAGGGTTTCAATTAACTACAGATAAATTGCTTGTAAAACCAAATTATTTTGAGTTAATTTCAACAAGACTTGTTTTTGACTGTTGTGGTGTGTGTATGTATAGCAGTACCCAAAAAATTATATTAAATTATTCAAAGGAGAAGAATACTGTATGAGATTTTTACAACTTCACTCAGCTTAATTTTTCCATTTGAACACCTATTATCATTTTCTATTCACACATTTTATTATAAATCTTTTGTTTGCGCATGTTTTTTGGGTTATAAATTAATTATTCTACCCATGGGAGTTTCTTTGTTAAATAATTGCAAGCTGTGCTGAAAACCACTATTTTGACAAAAACATACCTCCAGCATGTATTTATTGAGTTATTATATTTCAATTCACTACCTATATTTGACAAACCATCTTACTAAAGTGTGTATATAACCAAATTTAATTAGTATTGTTAAGTATGACTCCATATTTACGACTTTAATTGTATGACTTAATTTATGATGGTTAATCCTATGGTTTTGGCTTATCAAAATTGCTTATCAATAATTTGGTGCTGGTCTCTTTGGCTTCTCTATAATTATATTTCTGCTTGATTGAAGACAGAGATCAAAGAAACATAAATTAAGATGAAGCTGAGCAAGTAATTAAGACTCTTCTCTATAACCAAAGTGTTCAGTGAACCTGATGTGAACATCAACAATATGACAGAGGGTGTCATAAACGAATATGTGTTATCTGCCACCAGTGTCATTTGCCACCACTCTAGGATTTGTGTCATTTGCCACCACTTTATACCTGGCTGGGTGAGTCATCAGCCCCAACCCTAGTCCTTGGGTCATCACCCCTCGAGGCACCTGCCGATGGACCAGGAAATACCTAAGATTGTGTGAATTGATCAAAGTGATATCACCCTGTCCTGCAACATTTTATGGGTAAAAATTCTAACACTATAGGAGTAAAGAAATACAATACGGAAACGCTCATTCTTATCTGTGGTTTTGTAGTGTTACGCTGTGGTTTTGTAGTGTTACGGCATAGTCAGTGCTGTTCTAACCAAGTTTTAGCCTACATTGTAGGCTACAGTAGCATAATTTAAGTATAGACATTTTGTTTGATTTGCTTAATAGTTATAGTTGTTTTTCCACTTCATTTGTGGAATGGAAATAGTAACCACATTCGCAGAAAGCCACGAGCTTTTTATCAATAATTCGCGTTCAACTTCAAGAGGAAAAAAACAGATGGAACAATAGTTTGATTTTGCTCCAAAAACAGATTAGTCAAAGTGTTAGTCTTTGAAATTACTCTTAAAAATTACTCAAGTTATCGTCCGGACGGACACACACACACACATATTATTTTCTCGCATAAACAAAAATTTGAACGAATGGTGTTTTCAGCCTCTGGGGACATCAAAATGAAAAAGTAAATCGGTCCCGGGCCTAGGTCTTACCATAAGACTTACGGTAATAGCCACTTCCCTATAGAGAAATTAGCTAAAAGAAAAATCAATTAAATAACAATATAAAAATCTGCTGTTAATAACACAAATTAGATATGCATGATTAGATTATTAGATGATTAGATTGGCAAACCAATTACTGTCATAAATAAAAAAATTACTAAAAAGATTATTTGAAAAGAAATTCAAAAATTTTATGTTTTCGAGATAAAAAATATAAACAAATATTTACATATAGAAAATTCGCTAAAAACGTTCATGATTATTTGCAACTCTACATGAATTAAGCTTTCCAACGACCCATTAATTAATAAATCGGTCCAGAAGAACTCTAGATTTAGTTGTACAACGATTTTCAAAGTTAAATTATATATGAGTAGATGCATATTGCACAAGTATGACATTACAGTTAAATGAATCTTTAATACAAACTATATCTAAAGTGGCTAAAAGAAAATATAAACTAATAACCTACTAAATAAAACAACATTCAATCAACAAATTCATTCAATGATAGACGGGCTTGGTTGACATAAATGTTTTAGTTGCTTATTTACTTTTGTCTGTTATTTTTAATTTTCACAATTCACAGTTGTAACTGGAGTTATAAACATGAAATGAACATAGAAATAAATAAACTGAAATCGGTTTAAATAGTTCAAATAGTTTAAAATACCTTAACACAGATATTCCTATACTGTTTAACTTGCGATTATGTGAGTAAAGACTCAAAATGTGTGTTTTCTTTTGCCGAACAAGATGGTAAAATTAATTTTCACAATTCAAAGTTGTAACTGGAGTTATAAACATGTATTTAATATACAAAAAAAAAATAGGTACAACTACATAGTTGTGACAGATAGGAACGGTCACGGCGGGAATTCCGGGGCGGGAATTCCAGGAACTGACCCTACTGGTGGCAAATGACACTGGTGGCAAACGACACTGGTGGCAGATAGTAGGACACCGTCATAAACATCTTAGCCTATTTTTGAACAGATTAATAAACAGTATCACGCATCTGACACATATTTTCTCCCATTAGCTTGTCAACAACCCTTTATCATGGACAATCAGTGGATTAACTATGATATTTTATGGGGGGAAATCGTAAAAACTACAATATATTTTCAACTGTAAATCTTACAGCATTGGGGTTCCACCATTTTGTTTGAAGTTGAAATGACTATATCATACTAAGTTTTAATCAAAACCGTTTGAGCAGTTTTTGTGTAAATCCAATTTTTTCTGTTATTTTATGGGTTATCATGGGGAAGTTACGATTAAAAATCAAAATTTACAAAAAAAATTGCTGGAGATACTAT